CATATATCAATATCAGTAACATTGTTCCCCCTTATTTCACCATATCATACCTCCCTTATTGCACATGTTGCGACGTGCAGCCCGATCCCACCGTACAATACAAATTCACCCATATTCCACCCGTTCCTCATGACAATTAAATACCTGCACGATAAATATATTTACCAAAGTAATATGTGGGATATTATCTATATAATTAGTTGGACCTGTATATTTATCTTTTTGAAATAGGGGTTATAGTTTTTATATTTTCTAAAAATATTCAATTCAAATTCAAAAATTGACCACATTGAATGTTATAACATTAACTATTAAAATACAAGAGAATACATCATATATATATATATATATATATATATATATATATATATATATATATATACATACCCATGAAAACAATAAGAAATAAAAGAAAATTAACAAAATATTCCCCAAGTAGTTATGTAAATCCTGAAAACTCAGTGATATTCACAGTCAATTTGGAATCTTTCCCCAAGCAGGCCTTTTGGGATCTTTCCCCTTTACATGCTTTGATTACTTTCACCACCAAAGGATGTGGTGTAGTAGATGGGACTGCTCTTCCTTTAACCAGAGGTCTTGAGTTCGAGCCGCCCTAGGTATGAAAAAATACTTGGTAGGGAGCGCTTCCCCCCGAATGGGGCCCTACGCGGCGCGAATTCAGATATAGTCGGGCTCCAATGCGGGTACCAGACACCGGGTGGAAAACTAAAAAGAAAAGATTACTTTCATTAAATACTTGGTAGGAACTGTATCAAACCGACGAGTCCCTGTTTGTAATAATACTGTTTAAACTCCATTTTATGCTTTTAATAAAATTGCAACGTTAATAAGAAGAAAAAAGAAGAAGATAATCACAGTTAATGTAGAACATCTCCAAATTTATTTTACCATATAATTTGTTGAAGGATTAAGTAGACAAGCTGATAATTAACTGTAGTTAACTATTATTGTAGTCACTAACTAAGTTGGTTAGTTAGTTGGTAAGGTAGTTAGTTAGTAGTCAAAAGAATATATAAATATCTTCTTCTCTTAGCTTAAATGTACAACAGTTATTTTTCTTTCAAAAATTCAATGGAACAGTGTTCCCTTCCTTCTCTTCTTTACTACTGCAGCTCATCTTCTATCTGAGCTTCAGATATTTGTCCATGGCAGCTAACATGGTATCAGAGCCACCGGCAATGATCTAGGTTGTCGTCGTCTCAATTCTCTCTTTTGATCTCTACTCTCTGCTTCTAGATTACTTTAATTTTTGCAAAAATTAGGTGCAGAATTGTCTTAGAGTAATCATAAAATCGAAGCTAGGGTTTGTATTTTTCAATTCAAAGTGAAGTCTACAATGGCGATTGGCACTGAAGAAAATAATACAACAGCTCGTACATCAGCTACTAACACTTTTGGAAACTCTGCTCTAGCTGGTTCTGTTTAGTCATTTCCTTCTATCACAATCACCCACTGTACCTACAACCAACTGACACACCAGGTAGTTCTCTAGTCTCTATTCAATTGACTGGATCTGATAACTATGCCTTGTGGAGTCGTGCTATGAGAATTGGTTTGTTAGGTAAATGTAAGTTAGGTTTTGTTGATGGAAGGTTTCCAAAGTCTAAGTTCGAACCAGAACTTCATGATCTATGGGAAAAGGTTAATGATGTTGTGTTGTCATGGATAATGAATGTTGTGAGACCTAGTTTGTTGAGTAGTGTGATATATGCATCTAGTGCTCATAAGGTGTGGGAAGATCTAAAAGAAAGGTTCGATAAAGTGAATGGCTCTAGAGTATTGTTCCTTCATAGAGAAATGCACAATTTGACTCAAGGAACCATGACTGTATCAGATTACTTCTCAAAACTGAGAGATTTATGGGATGAGTTTGATGCTCTAATGCCTTGCCCAGGGTGTCCATGTCCTGAGTCCAAGCTATATGCTCAGCTCTTTGAGGCTCAGAGACTGCTGCAGTTTCTTACTGGCATAAATGATTCCTATGCACAATCCAGATGTCAAATCATGATGATGAATCCAATACCTACTATTAACAAGGCTTATTCTCTCATTGTTGATCAAGAGAGTCAAAGAAATCTGGCAAGCATGGCCCAGGTTACACAGCTTGCAGAAGGTCTAGAGAGCACTGCCCTGTATGGGAACAAAGGTCCAAACATCACAAGTGGAGGTTATAGACAAAGAAAGAATAATGTTCAGTGTGATTACTGTCATTACAAAGGGCATACCAAAGAGAATTTTGTTCAAGCTAATAGGCTACCCACCTGATTTTAAGTCTAACAGAAAAGGAAGTGCACCTGGACTTTATGCTAATTTTGCAGGTAATCCAAAGTTTGCAGCAGAGGAAGAGCACATCAGCTGTGAAAGTCAACTGAACACTGGATCTCATTATCAAAAGGAATTCACTTCAGCTAATTCTATAACACCACAAATGACACAGACACAACCATTCTTTACTCAGGAGCAATACCAGCAGATTGTTCAAATGCTTTCCAAATGAAGTGCAGAAGGTTCTGGCTCATCTAGCAAAATAGCTGCTGCAGGTATTCTAACTCATGTGAATGCATATGTGTATCAGTGTATCAATAGTGATTGGATAATTGATACTAGAGCCTCAAATCACATGACATCTAGACTTGAGTTACTAGAAACACATAAGTCACTCCCTACAATAGAGAAAAATATAGTTCATCTTCCTAATGGTAATGCAATGCAACTCTTACACACAGGCAGTACATCTGTGTTGCACAATCAGAAGATTTCTAATGTGCTCTACATTCCAGACTTTAAGTTCAATTTACTCTCAGTTTCACAACTCACCAAGGAACTAAAGAGTATGGTAGGCTTCTTTCCTGACTTTTGTATTTTTCAGGATCTTTACAGCAGTCAGGTGAAGGGGATTGGTAGAGAGGAACATGAACTTTATGTTTTTAAAGGAGGTGTTTCAGAACAATTCTTAGTTCAAATGACAAATAAGAGTGCATCTGCAGTTACTACTCCCTCTCTTGCAGGCTCAAGCTGCTTATGGCACAGGAGATTGGGACATGTTCCCTTAGATGTAATAAGAAGAGTAGACAAGTTAAATAAGTTGACTACTAGTGACAGTCAACACTGTACTGTATGGCCACTAGCCAAGCAAAGTAAGCTTCCTTTTCAGCTTAGCAGTACTGCAACTTAATCCATGTTTGAATTGATCCATTGTTATATTTGGGGACCATACATATGTCCTACTCATGATGGAAAAAGATTTTTTGTTACTATAGTAGATGACTATAGTAGATATACTTGGATATTCCTATTAACCTCTAAGTCTGAAGCCTATGTTGTTCTAAAGAATTTTCTTGTTCAGGTTCACAATGTATTCTCTACCACAGTTAAGGTCTTGAGAACTGACAATGGAAGTGAGTTTTTTAGTACTGATTTCAAAAATTTGTTGTCTAGTCTTGGTATTGTGCATGAAAGCTCATGTGTGTATACACCCCAACAAAATGGAGTGGTAGAAAGGAAACATAGAACTATTCTTAATATAGCGAGGGCACTCAGATTTCAAGCTTCTGTTCCTTTAAAGTTTTGGGGTGAGTGTGTCACTACAGTTGCTTACATACTGAATAGACTTACTTCCAAAGTGATTGACTACAAATCACCATTTGAGATGCTTTATTTGCACTCTCCTTCTTTGTCTCACTTGAGAGTCTTTGGTTGCCTTTGTTATGTTGCAACTCCTAGAGTACTAGACAAGTTCTCACCCAAAGCTGTTCCTGCTGTGCTTATGGGGTACTCTTCAACACAAAAGGGTTACCTTCTGTATGAACTACACTCCAAAACATTTCTGGTAAGCAAAAATGTCATATTCAAGGAAGATGTCTTCCCCTTCAAACATGTGAAGTCATATGGCAATCCTATATTTCCCGTGTTGGATTTACTCTCCCCAGTGGTTCATGAAAGCTCTACAGTTGGTACTGCTGCACCAGCTCCTTTGCCATCACATTCCTTGAATTCAGAGGCTAACCATTTCTCAGATGTTGAACCACAACAAACTTCTGATCTGGAGGAACATATACAACAACTTCACAACTTTGAGCCAAATGTTGTTCTTAATGTTCCTTCACCTCCTGCTGAAGTCACTGCTGCTGATACAGTCAGTGATGAACCTTTCGTAGGCTGTAGAAGATCTTCCAGACCAAGCAAGCCTCTTATTTGGCTACAGGACTATGTAACAAAGACTAAAGGTACTAAGTGCAACTTCCCTATCTCTGCACATGTTAACTACAATCACTCCCCCACTTACAGACAGGCAATCTCAATTTATTCAGCAGTCTGAGAACCATCCAACTTCAAGGAGGCTGCATCTGATCCTAAGTGGATAGAAGCTATGAAACTTGAGCTACAGGCCTTGGAAGATAACAATACTTGGTCTGTTGTAGACCTACCTCCTGGAAAGACACCTATTGGTTGTAGGTGGGTGTTCAGGATCAAGTAAAAGGCTACAGGTGAAGTTGAGAGATTCAATGCTCGACTGGTAGCTAAGGGGTACAGTCAAAAAGAGGGCCTAGACTATGGAGAAACTTTCTCACCAGTGGTCAAGATGGTCACTGTGAGATCTGTTGTTGTTGTTGCTCTCAAAACAGTGGTACATTTATCAAATGGATGTCCATAATGCATTTCTTAATGGTGATTTAGATGAAGAGGTATATATGGTGTTTCCTGAAGGGTTTTCTAGACAGGGGGAGTCTCGGAAGGTCTGCAAACTTCAAAAGTCCTTGTATGGCCTCAAGCAAGCACCTAGGCAGTGGAATCTAAAGCTTACAGAAGCACTTGTACATATGGGATTTCAGCAGAGTCACTATGATTACTCACTATTTGTCAGGAGAGTTGGGGATGATATTGTGATCATACTTGTATATGTAGATGATCTCTTAACTACTGGCAGCAATCACAAGTTGCTATGTGACACAAGGCTAGATCTTTAAAGCAGGTTCAAAATGAAGGATCTCGGAGAACTAAAGTTCTTTCTAGGTATTGAATTTGCAAGGTCTAACAAGGGGATCCTAATGAGTCAGAGGAAATATGTTCTAGAGCTGATTTCTGAAATAGGTCTTAGTGGAGCAAAGCCAGTTAATACACCTATGGAGATCAACCAGAATCTGACTACTGTAGAATATGATCTATCCTTCAACAGAGGAAATGCTATTGCTGATGAAGTACTAAGAGATCCTGGTGTCTATCAAAGACTAGTTGGGAAATTACTATACCTAACTATGACCAGACCTGACATCTCATTTGTAGTACAGGTCTTAAGTCAATTTATGCATTGTCCTGGAATTTCCCATATGGAGGCTGCATCAAGAGTAGTGTGGTATATAAAGCAAGCACCTGGTCTTGGACTGTTTATGCCTGCAGAAGACACAAAGAATCTGACTGCCTACTGTGATTCTGATTGGGGAGCTTGTGTGGAAACAAGAAGATCATTAACTGGCTATCTGGTAAAGTTTGGAAATGCTCTAGTATTTTGGAAGTCCAAGAAGCAAAGCCCTGTCTCCAGAAGCTCAGCTGAAGCAGAGTTCAGGAGTATGGCCTCTTGTGCAGCAGATGTTACTTGGTTGATAGGGTTATATGCAGAACTAGGAATCAAAGTCTGTTTCCCTATGAAGTTAGTATATGACAGCAAGGCAGCAATCGATTGCTGCAAATCCAATCTTTCATGAGAGAACAAAACACATTGACATTGATTGTCACTTTGTGAGGGAAAAGCTATGTGAAGGAATGTTGAAGACTGAATATGTACATAATGAAGATCAATTGGCAAACCTACTAACTAAGAGTCTTGGAAAAGCTCAACATGAGCATCTGTTAACCAATTTTGCGTTGAAGAATGTGTATCAATCATCAGCTTGAGGGGGAGTGTTGAAGGATTAAGTAGACAAGCTGATATTAACTGTAGTTAACTATTATTGTGTTCACTAACTAAGTTGGTTAGTTAGTAGGTAAGGTAGTTAGTTAGTAGTCAGAAGAATATATAAATATCTTCTTCTCTTAGCTTAAATGTACAACAGTTATTTTCTTTAAAAATTTCAATGGAACAATGTTCCCTTCCTTCTCTTCTTTACTGCTTCAGTTCATCTTCTATCTGAGCTTCAGATCTTTGTCCATGGCAGCTAACATAACCGGACGTGATAATCACAATTACCATATATTTTTAATTTTTTATCCGTTGTCTGGTATCCCTTTTGGGGCTTGATTAATCTGGATTTGCACTTAAAAATCGCACTTTTGAGGTAAAACTTTCTCCACCAAAGACGACTCCATTCATAATTAGAGCTCAGCCTCGTCAGATCTCCGGTTAAGGACATCTATTGATGGTACGAACAGTAGTACTAAATATTACTCCAATAAATTTTCATGATCGTCTATATTATATATGTTTTATATATGTATATTCGATGTTCATGATTTTTTCATATTAGACCATTTGGTGCTTTTATTAAAGTTACTACATGAGAATTATGAACTGAGTTTATTACCAGCTAAAGTGATGGATTATTAGCAATTGCTTGGAATTTCTGTTGAATATGTGCCTTTGTTTTAATTTATGTTTATTTCCATATTCCTTGGTGTCAACAGCTAGCCTTTATTGTCACTTGGGAAAATCATAGCAAAGCATAACAACCATAGTAATGTTTGATTCTATATTTTATTGTCGGGAATCGGGATGTTTATGAATAATAATCTCTCTCGGACAATACTTTTGGATCGTTTTAATTAATCAATATTGCATCACCTTGATCGTCCTAGATGTGAAATGATCATTTTGCAAAAGAATATCGCATAAGAACATCTCTCCCTTATCTATTGAAGAAAAAAAAAGAAAAAGAAGTATTACTATGATTTGGGAAATACGTACATGATTGGGAAAGAGAGAAAACAAATATATAATTACATAACTTTGAGAGCAGACTAAAGGTCAGCATTTTTATCTCAAATCAAAAGCAAATTTACCTTCACTGTCAAGAGTTAATGATAAAGAATGTGGAATATTGTACTTTTATTGTGTATTTTATGGATGGTCACTGAATTTCTATTTATTTGCACCAAATCACTAAACTATTTTTGTAACCAAAAAGTTACTCAACTTTATCTAAGTATCATAGATTATTACTAAGCGAAAATAATTGAGACATTTAATTTCTATGATATTTAAGCAAAGTTGAGTACTAACATTTTTTTTTGTTACAGAAAATAATTTAGTTACTTTAATATAATAAAGTAAAAGTTGAATGACTATTCATGAAATAATTCGTTTTATAAAACTATTTAGCTCCTCTTTTTATTGTAAATAGTTTTGGTTTTAAAATTCTAGAAAATCAACATAAGTAACATTAATTGTTAAGGGAATCCTAAACCTAAAGTGATTAAAATTCTATTGAATCCTAGGTAAGAAAATCCTAAACCTAAGGTGATTATAATTCTATTGAATCCTAAACCTAACTTTTCCTTTATAGCCCAAGATTCCATGTGAGTACAGTGTAGTTGGCCATCTCATTAGATGAGTATATGGTGTTTGTCTATTATAACCTTGACTCACACAATTTAATTTATCTAATTTTTAGGGTAAATTGGTGATTGAGTTTCTTCATCCTATTCATCTCTTAACACGTGTATTCCACTTCTAATTTATCTTTTGCTACTGCCACACTCCAATAGTCCATTCTAGAAACTATTCTGATCATCATCCTTGAATTTGATTTCTTTGTGATGTTTTAGTTTGGTTCCAAGTTTTCTCGGCTGAATTCTCTATTTCCCAATTAGTATGAGTTTTCTGCTTTCTTTTCTTTGTTTAATTACCACTGCTTCTTACATGACTCACTTCTTAGTTTTATTGTTTTTATATAGCCCTCCATTGAATCTATGGGAATTCTGGTAAGGATTTTTACCCTCTCTTTTTCGGCTGCAAGATATTTTGAAATTGCAACTGTCTCTATTTTGTGCCCTAAATCCTTTCCTAGGGCAGTCTAATGTAACAAGCTCTCTTGCCAGGGCTATGGCCTCTCATCCTTTTGCACTTCACATGTTATTTAGAAAATGGTGCTACTCCAAAAAATTTAGTAAGTGGATCGAGAATATACTACATTTGATATGCCTACAAGTGGATTACAACATGGTAGTATAGGTGCACAAAATTAAATTTTTGTAGTGGAAGAAGGGAAATGGTGACTCTATACCACTGTTGCTGTTGAGCTAATGGAGTATTTAGCCTCTAAGCCAAAGCATAAATAGTATTATAGTGTGTTTAGTACTGTAAATGTTTATTTAATTTGTACATGTGGGCCATTTTATAGTTTGGCTATTTTTGTAAGATTTAACATTAGTCTTCAGGATAGTGGGTCAAGGCCCAAGATATAAATAGATTGAACTGCACCTTGTAAGACACATCGGGTCATTTTTCTCTTACACAGATATACAGAAATGTGGCTTCTCCCTCAAACACAAAAGTGAAAACCCTAAACAAATTTTCTCATCTTCCATTCATGTCATAATATTTTCATGGTATCAGAGCAGTGATCCTGGTGCATCTCTTCCGATTCTAACCCGGTCAATTTTTGGTTGAGTTTTCTGATTTCTCTTGGTCTCCGATTGTTCGATAAAATCGAAGGTTTTCTCTTCAAAAAAGTGTAATTTTTCGTCGATCTCTGCTCTAGACCAGCGTAAGGGTAATTTTTTCGTTGTCTTGGTTGAAACTTGAAGGAACCTTCACATTCTGAGTTGTTCGGCTATTGAAGCTAGGGTTAGCTATGGTTTCTGCTATCTGAAGGCCGTTCTTCTCCGGTAGCGAAGAAGTTGGGTAAATTCGTTCTTCTCCTTGTGTTTAGGACTGTTGCATGTAATTTTTGTGTTGAGATTTGGTTGCAAATATATTCTTTGTACTTGTCATTTTATCGACACTGTGTGATAGCCATGGGTTCTACTGATACTTTGTCCCCTGATCCCTCAAGTCCCCTTTTTGTACATTCATCTGATATTCCTAGGATTTCATTAGTTCCTGCTCCTTTTTCGGGTACTGGTTTTGGGGGTTGGAGGAGAAAAATGATAGTTGCCTTATCTGCTAAAAACAAAATAGCTTTTGTTGATGGTATATGTCTTCGACCTGCTACGATTGGGGCTGAACAAAAATTGTGGGATAGGTGCAACAACATGGTAATATCATGGTTGACAGCATCATTATCCCCTGAGATAGCTGGAAAGCGTACAGTACTCTGAAACTGCTCAAAGTATTTGGGTACAGTTGCAAACTAGGTATGGGACTGCAAATAGAACCAAAATATTTGAACTAAAAAGGGAACTTGCCTACACTTCCCAAGAAGCATTAGACATAGCTTCATACTTCAATAAACTGAAGAGGTTATGGGATGAGTTGGGAGTGGTGTGTACTAACCATGGACAAAGGTGTACTTGTGCTGCAAAACCTGGTACTTTGCAAGAGGATGAGGAAAATAAGCTTTTTCAGTTCCTCATGGGGTTAAATGAAACATATATGGGGGTGAGGAGTAATCTTCTTATGATGCAACCTCCTCCTAGGCTTGACAGTGCTTATAACATTCTTCTTAATGATGAAAAGCAGAGACAAGTCTAGTCCCACTCTCAATTCAATCCTGACTCTATGTCTTTCAATGTTAGTACACAAAGTAGCCCTGCTTTTGGTTTTGGTTTCAATCCTAATACAACTCCTAGTACAACTCCCAATTCTACCTCTCCCAAACCATATGTGCCAAGAATTAAGTTTGATCAGAATAGAGCACCTTTATTCTATAAATACTGCAAGAAATTTGGACATTTGGTTGACGAGTGCTATAAACTACATAGGTATCCACAAAGTCCAAAGTTTAACAAGGGTAAGAAGGCTGCAGCTCATGTATCTACTGCAGCACAAACTAATTCTGAGGGCGAATCTGCTGGGATTTTAGATGAATCAACCAATCATGTTTCCAACGTTGATGGTCAGGGGTCAATTATCCCAGGTCTGAGCAAGCAGCAGTATGATCAACTGATCAATCTGTTACAACACTCTCAAGTGAGAGATGCTTCCAATGCTCAAGCCAATCTCATGTGCTCTCCCAATTTTGCTGGTACTCTATTAACTAAAAGTCCAGTTTCTTATTCTAAACTTTGCTTGCTTACTCAGATTCATTCTGTCTCCTGGATAATAGATTCAGGAGCTTCTGATCACATGACTTCTAATAAAGAATTACTCTTTGATATTACACCTTTAACTATCCCCTACCTTGTTACCCTTCCTAATGGATACAAAGTGAAGGTGACCTCCACCGGTTCATTTGCTCTAACTCCTTCAATCACACTTCATAATGTGTTGTTTGTCCCTTCATTCCAACACAATTTAATTTCTGTTCATAAACTAATAAAACAACTACATTGCATAGTGTTGTTCACTGCTACTTCTTGTTTGTTGCACATGTTACAGGCCCCTTCTCTGAAGATGCCTCTGGATCTTGGTAAAGAGGAGGATGGCCTGTACAAGTTCACTTGGGTGCAACCATCAGATTCTTCGATTTCTTCTGCTTCAAATTCATGTAGCACTGTTTCCATTTCAAGTCCTAAGGATGTAGTTGCACCTTGCAAGCTTGTTTCCCTTTCTAGTTCTAATGATATTTCCAGTACTAGTTCACCATTGTGTAATAATGCTGCTATGAATGATATGAACCTGATTTGGCATCAATGATTGGCACATATTTCTTTTGCAAAAATGAAACATATTCCTGTTTTGTCTTCTTCTCTTTCTTCTAAGCAGTCCTTTCCTTGTTCTGTTTGTCCTATGGCTAGACAAACTAGACTCTCTTTCCCTGATAGTTCCATTAGTACAACCTGACCTTTTCAATTGATTCATGTTGATACACGGGGTCCATATCATACACCTACTTCCTCAAATTCAAGGTATTTTCTTACCATTGTTGATGATTTTTCAAGGGCCACCTGGACTCATTTATTGGGATCAAAAAGTAATGCTTTCTCCATGATCAAGGCTTTCTTAGCCACAGTCCAAACCCAATTTAATGCACAGGACCAAATTATTAGAAGTGATAATGCCTTGGAACTGGGCTCAAGCACTGCTAGTTCTTCCTTTTTCAGTCAACTTGGTATCATTCACCAAACTACCTGTCCACACACCCCACAACAAAATGGGGTTGTTGAAAGAAAACATAGAACTCTTCTTGAAGCATGTATAGCTTTATTGTTTCAATCTAAACTACCTATCACTTTTTGGGGAGATTGTCTTTTAACTGCTACATACTTGTTGAACAGAATCCCATCTAGAATCCTTAAAAACAGGTCACCTTATGGATCCTATATGGGCAACCTCCCAATTACTCCCATTTAAGGACTTTTGGTTGCCTAGCTTATGTCGCTGTCCCTATTCCTCAAAGAGACAAGCTAGAACCTAGGGCCATTCCTTGTGTGTTCCTGGGATATCCCTTTGCTAAAAAGGGATACAAACTATACAATCTACATACTAAGAAATCTTTTGTTTCTAGAGATGTCATTTTCCATGAAACCTGCTTTCCTTTTGCTACTCCCATTCCTTCTGTTCCTTCCCGTCTAACTTCTCCCCTCTCCTCTTCTGCCATGTATTAGGACCCTATACATTTTCCTCCTCCAGCTCCTCCTTCATCTCCTCCTTTTGTTCCTCCTTCTTATCCTAACTTTGTTTTCTCTTCACCCAATTCTGATGTCCCTCCTCCTGTACATTCTCCTTTCCAACCTTTTCATCAGCATATGCCTCATCCTTCATCTCCTAATCCTCCAGCTCTTAGAAAATCCTCCAGGCAGCACACTACTCCTTCTTACTTGAAAGATTATGTTTGCCAACTCCCTTCCTTTTCTGGCTCTTCTTCTGTACCACCCATAGTCACTGAACCTTTCAGCTACTCTCAAGCTACCTCAGTTCCAGCCTGGCAGGATGCCATGAGAAAGGAATTTGATGCCTTGGATGCTAATCACACTTGGGACATTGTACCCTTGCCTTCTGGTAAGAAACCTATAGGTTGCAAGTAGGTTTATAAAATTAAGTACAAAGCTGATGGGAGTGTGGAGAGGTACAAAGCTAGGCTTGTCATTAGAGGGGATACTCAGGTTGAGGGTGTTGACTTCACAGAAACCTTTTCTCCTGTCATTAAAATGTCCACTGTTAAATGTCTAATAGCTGTAGCTATCAAGCATGGTTGGTCTCTTTCTCAATTGGATGTGAAAAATGTTTTTCTTCATGGTGATCTAGATGAGGAAGTCTACATGAAGTTACCACAGGGTTTGTCTATTAATGTTCCTTCCAGTTCTGCCCCTCTTGTGTGCAAATTGAGAAAGTCTCTCTATGGTTTAAGGCAGGCATCAAGGCAGTGGTATGCCAAGTTGTCTCAAGCTCTCTATTCCAGGGGATATATTCACTCACTCAATGACTATTCCTTATTCATCAAGGGTGCTCCTCGCAACCTAGTTCTTTTGGCAGTCTATGTAGATGACATCATCATCACTAGGGATGATATTGCTGAAATTTCTGCTCTAAAGCATTTCTTGGATGCCCAATTTAAAATCAAGGACTTGGGCTCCTTGCACTATTTTTTGGGTATTGAGGTTTCTTCTGTTCCTGGTGGAGTTCTACTAAACCAGAAGAAGTTTGATTCTGATCTACTTCATGTGACGACCCAAAGGGCCATCACCTATTTTCTTACTCATTCCGTGCTTTCGAGGCCTTGAAAACCTCATTTAGGGTTGCCTCGATTTGCGTGCGCAGTCCGGACGCGTAGCCGGAAAGCTTAAATATGAATTCTGTGAGAAAAATGCTAAATTTTGATATTAATTTGAATAAATTTGACTTCGGTCAATATTTTGGGTAAACGGACCCGGACCCGTGATTTCACGGTCCCGTAGGGTCCGTAGGAAAATATGGGACTTGGGCGTATGCCCGGAATCGAATTCCGAGGTCCCAAGCCCAAGAAATAAATTTTTGTGTGAAATTGTTTTCTGGAAATGATTAAGGAAAATGAAAATGAAATTTGATTAAAAGACTGTGGTATCGGGCCCGTATTTTGGTTCCGGCGCCCGGTACAAGTCTTATATATGGTTTAAGCGCTTTCTGTAAAGTTTGATTGAAATCGGACGTCGTTTGACGTGTTTCGGACTTAAAACTCTAAATTTGAAAGTTTATGAGGTTTGAGGAAAAATTGGTGATTTTGAGGTTGATTCGTTGTTTTTGATGTTATTTTGGCGATTTGATCGCACGAATAAGTCCGTAGGATGTTATTGAGGTGGTGTGCATATTTGGTTTGGAGCCCCGAGGGCTCGGGTGAGTTTTGGATAGGTGTCGGATTGCATTTTTGCATTTTTGAAAAATCCGGTACCTCTGATCTGCAGGTTTCGCATTTGCGAAGCCAGTATTCGCAAATGCGAAGGTCCAGCTCACGCAAATGCGAAGGCTGGTTCGCAAATGCGAAACCAGCCCAGGCCTGACAATGATCGCAAATGCGAAATCATTCCCCGGAAATGCGAAGGTCCAGGGTTCGCAAATGCGAGACCTTTCTCGCAAATGCGAAGGTCCCCTGATAGGCCTGAGTTCGCAAATGCGAACTAGAGTTCGCGATTCCCATAATTTGGTTGGGGTTCGCAATTGCGAACCCCTGTTCGCAATTGCGATAACTGCAGCCCAACATATTTCATACTTAGTCGAATTTTAAGTCATTTTTCACCCCACTTTCAAAATACAACTCTTTGGGCGATTTTCCAAGAACAAGACTTCTTCCAAATCATTTGTAAGTTGGTTTTTACTCATTTCTTTCAATCTTTAACATCATTTAATATGTTTTCAACTTAAAATCAATGGTTTTCATGGGGGAAATTGGGGGTTTTGGGTAGAACCTAGATTTTCTATAAATTGGGGATTTGGACCTCAATTTGAGGTCCGATTTTAAAACAAATTGCGTATTTGAGTTTGTGGGGGAATGGGTAACCGGGTTTTGGTTCGAACCTCGGGTTTTGACCACGTGGGCCCGGGGGCGATTTTGGAATTTTTGGGAAAAACTTGGGAAAATTATTTTTTTTGCATTCAAATTGATTCATTTAGCATTTATTAAAGTAATTGAGTAATTTGTGACTAGATTCGAGCGGATTGGAGGTGGAATCACGGGGTAAAGCGATAGTTGAGGTTTGAGTGGAATTCAAGGCATCGAGGTAAGTGTTTGGTTTAACCCTAGCTTGAGGGAATAAGGGTTGAGTCTTATTTGATGCTTGCTAATTGTCGAGTACGATGTATAGGCATGGTGACGAGTATCTATACATTGGTGTCTAGCATGACCGTGAGTCCTTACTTTGCTAATAGTTTGGTTGTTGATATGCCTTCCATGCTTAATTGATGACTTCTATATGTTGTAAAGACCTTGTGAAAGAAATTGTGATCTTGAAACTTCGTGGAGCATTGGCTCGGGTTGAAATACAAATTGTGAAGGTTTATGAGACTCATTGGAGCACTGGCTCAAGTGATAATGTGAACTATGAGATGAAAGTGAAAGAAAGAAAAGAGTTAATGATTTATTCCCTTGCCGGGATGTTTTTGGTTATTGATGTTGTACC